ATATATATATATATATATATATATATATATATATATATATATAGAGGTTTGTTAATATATGTGTTTGCTAACTTTTTTACTCATAATATACTTTTATATTTCAGTGTTTATGAGATAATATAAACTTTTGTCAAAAATAAAAAAAAGTCGTGTATAAAGCTTGTGATGCTCTTGCCTGCTCCGATGAATTCAAGATGGATGGAGCTCACAAACATGCAAGACTAATATTTATGGTCATTTAGAAACAAATAGATTATGTTATGTTATGATTCAATTTCACCCTTATGTTTCTTTAGCATGTTTTCCCAAAAGGACATACTTATGTGTTATTGGTACACTATGAAATTGGAATGAAGTCCTCCATAATATTTTCAATCCAACCAAAAACATATAATTTGAACAAAATGGATAATTTCTGTTTAAAATTATTATCTTATATGTTATTTTGCACTTGATATTACTATCTTATATGTTATTTTGTACTTAAAATTAGTCTTTTATGTGTTTATTTCATACTTTAAATTGTTTATTTTGTACTGTACAATTCCTTTGGTATTAGAGATCATTAACCCATCCTTGGGAGAAAAAAATAATAGAATGAGAATATAAATTATTAATTATGCCTAAATCTCAGATAAATATAAATTTTATTGATAAGACCTCTTCAATTGTAGCCAATATCTTATTACGAATAATTATGATAACTTTCAGAGAAAAAAAAAAGTATTTACCTCTTCAGAGATGGTATAATTTAAAAATTTTTTTTTTTTTGTCAGTCTAGTCATCCCTCAATATTATGACAAAGTAAAAGGGGATGTTTCGAGCTAGTAAGAACTACATTTATTAAAAGAAACTTTTGCTTGATGATATATCCTTTGGGATATAAATAGAATGTCAAATGTAACTTTTAAACATATGTTTTATATTTGTTTTTTTGATATACTCCTATAATGCTTTTTAGTCCATTATTATAAGCGAATCAAAGAAAATATAAAATATGACTCTACTCTTGAGCTAATTACTTGCATCTTGATATTAAGTAGTTTATATATTGCTTTCTACTTTCTTGTTAAGTATGCTTCTAATAAAATTATATATATGACTCTTGTATCTATGTCTTGCACCTTGATTCTTAGATCATATGATATGTCATCTCTTCGTCATGAATATGTTGGTCACTTACTATACTTTGTAATTTACCTATATAAATTTTTCTGATTAACTTATCACTCATCCTAATATTAGGTTTGGGCTAACACTATAGAATGTTAGAAGATTTTATTAAGTCTTTAATAGTTTGATATGATGTTATTGTTAAAGTACGCTTTGCTTCTAATGTTATTTCAAACAAATCTGAGTTGATGTGTATTATAAAAGTTAAAAAACTTCTCATTTTTAGAAGTTTAGAATCTTAAGTGTGAAGTTTTATATTCATATGAACTTGTGATAAATTATTATTATTTTATTATGGTAACTCTTGCTCTTATAGGTTTATAGGTGATTGTTAATGTTTTTTAAGTTAATCTTGAGTTTTATGAAGTTATCGAGTGATATGTCGAATAACTATAAATTGCACAGATGTGAATGAGAATTTAATACTTTTAGTATCCTCAAATTTAATGTCTTTGAATCTTAGGTTTGGGATTATGGATGAATCATATATATATATATATATATATATATATATATATATATATATATATATATATATATATATATATATATATATATATTTTTTTTTTTTTTTTTTTTTTTTTTTAAGATAGATTCACATCTGTTTCTTGTTAGCTCTGATGTTAAAGATCTTCATGTAAGAGATTTCTCTTATCATTTGTAAATCATTAAAATTTGAATTTTCTAACTTTCAATTCTCCCACCAACCATTAAAGGTTGGTGGGAGCAGAACCTGCACTTTCATATAGGGCGATTGTGCATAAAAATATCTTTTTTATCATTATTTTTTCCGGATGATATTTCTTTTTAAAATTCTTAAATCATCATCCTCTATTTTTAATATTTAAAAAATGCCCCTTAAAAAAACTATCATTTTTTTCGCTTAAATAAAATTTTTTTTTCCATTTTATACTATTTTATGGGTTGATTTTTATTCACAACATACTATATAGTATTTTTTAAAAAATACTATACGGTATTTTTAAAACACTACACAGTGTTATCGCATGTGAATAAAAAGCAACACACAAAATACTGTCAACAGTTGACAAAAAAAATTTTGGGATTTGGACGGGAAAACACTATGAACACTTCTTGGGGGATATTTTTGAGAATTTTGAAATAGAAAGTATGTTTTGAGAATTTTAAAAAAGATAATATCATTAAAAAATCTAAAAAATGATATTTTCTCGGACAATCAACCAAGTCATCTGTTCTTTAGTCAACTTTGGAAGGCAAAACTAATCTGAGTAAAATCTTCCAAGTCGATCTTGAATATTTGATTATGTTTATTGAGTCTTATCCACTTTTTAATTTCAGTAATGTTAATTAAGTCTTCACTTTTTTTCTCTTTTTCCCCTTATATATATATATATATATATTCTTATTATTATCTTATTTGTACCGTTAAATCGAACTTATATATATATATATTCTTATTATTTTCTTATTTGTACCGTTAAATCGAACTTAAACATATAATCTCCTCGCGAAACACAAAATCTTGCATAGATCGCTTCGTAGCTAATTCCCCTGAATTGCCTATGATCAATCATTTGTATGTAAGAATAACATATGGAAAACTATAATTCACATTTAATATTTTAGATATTTGCATAGATCTCGCTGAACTGACAGCGACTGAAGAGGCCATGACGTTAAAAAGGGGTGAGAATTTAAGGATTATAAGAAAACAAATATTAAATTTTCTCATACAAAGAATAATTGGACTTGGTTTATATGTAGTAAAATAAAAAGTTCATATATCTGATAGTCGTCGAGTTCCACAAAAACAATATAGCAGGTTTATCTACAAACATCCACATACAATAAAGTTGTGATCATTATCTTATTTGGTCAATGTCATGCATCTGTTAACATATAGTCTGGAATGCAGACCACTAATCAATTCAAGGAACGATTCAATCCAGTAACAGGTCATTTGGTTGTGCTTCTAATAAGAGGAACGAATTCTAGATGCACTGGTCATCGAAGAGGCTATTTTATGGCAGCAATTACAGCAAATGAATGATTTGATTGTATAAAGCTGTTCATATTATCCAATATGCAGTTTCACATGTTCCAAACACAATCCCCAAATGTTATATTGTTTATTTACAATATATCCAGTTCTTCAAGTAACAGTAACGTTTTTTCAATGCTGTGTGGACTCCTCCCCCAGCACATGCTCCCATTCGGAAGAGGAATTTTCATATCCACTGGTGAGGGACCAGTTCCCCTGATTGTATGTCATGTATGACTGAATCAGTGATCCATTCAAAGGGCCTGAGAACATCCGTTTCGCATCTACATATCCTGAAATATTCAAACCTGACCCGAGTTCTTCGTCACTTGCCGCACCAAGTGGCTGCACAGCAGTCAAATGCGAAGACCGAGGTGTGGGTCTGTCTTCGTCATACGGCTGCATCACACTCTCCATGAATCCCAAATCAGCAAGATTTACTGGCAGGTCTTTTATGCTAGAAGTATTTGCAACATCAGGAGAACCATACACAACTTCTCTTGTGCCTGAGCATGTTCCTGTGTCCTCTGGGTCAAGTTCCTCCATGCTCCTATAACTTGAGCTGACACTCCGATCCTTCAGAATCTTGTATCTAGTCATAACTGATGATTCAATATCCTCTGACTTGTTCGATTCACAGGTTGCTGATGCCTCATGAGGATTTTGACATTTACTTATCCCTTCGCTAACTTTGGTGGGAGAAATAGTACCCACCAGAACTCCTTTGTCCTTGTGCCCCTGAAGATCATGGGCAAAAGGCAGGCTTGATGATGTGTCTGATCGTGAATCCTTCACTAAAAATAAAAAATAAAAATAAAAATGATTAATTTTGAAAAGGACAAAGATTACTGCAATTGATCAGAAAAGATACAGTGAAGACAAAAAGCTTTGCCAGCTTTAACCAGTACTTACAGTTTTCAGATTGAGTCTTTGTTTGAGTAAGTTGAAGTTCATACTTCAATCTACAAGCTGCAGCTTCAGCTTCTATCCAGAGAGTCTTATACAACAGTGTCTGTGTGTTTTCTTCTCTTTCAGAGAAAGATTTTGATAAAGCATTCTCATAGATCTACACATTTGTGAAATGTACAAAGACAAAAGATAAAATAAAAGAAACAACCTGATATGTAAACAGATATGCATTAGAACACTGCCCCCAAGACATACAAATTTTACCTGAGTAATGTCATTGACTTTCCTGAGATTTGTGTTGTTGTCCTTTTGCAATTCATCATTAACATTGTTGTGCCCAACAGAATGCATCTTCCCCTTCATGTTGATCTGGTCTACATCATCAGTATTTGAACATCTACAGAAAGACCATGCAGCCTCCAAACCTGAACAATGAGGATTGCAACCAACAAAGCCCTGCAAAAGACCACCTGTCATCAACTTACATGACATATAAAGCAAGGAGTTCACCATAAAAAGAAAAAACATCTTGGCAAAACGGATACCTACAGCAAACAGATGGAATGTAAGTGTCAATATGGACAGTTATTTTAGAGTAAAAACTTGAAAACAGTCCAGACTAAATGACCAAAATTTTGTCAAATGCAAGAAAGTACTGACAAAATAACAGCATGATAACACAGAATACTTGTGACCCTTCATTATGGCCAACCATCAAAGCCATTGCAAGCACCATCCACTTGATGGCCTAGAACCATGGCAGAAAATATAAAGATAGTTAAAAAATACTAAAGTAAAAGTTATGGAACATAATTCTTCAAAGCCAAAGGAATATGCATTAATATAAAAGCAAGTTTAGTAACTTGATATTATATGCTAGCTAAATAATGAAGGTCTACAATTATCGCCATGATGGAGTCCGGAGCAGTTATATGCAAGCAAATTTCATCATAGATGTAGTGGAACCAAGTAAATCAGAAAAAAAATATATATTAAATGAAGTAAGATTTCAAACAAATAATAAAGGCAAAAAAAAAATCCATTTGGCTGTCACACAGTTATCCTACATACAAAGCTTTGAGCAACATTTTGTTTCCTTTTATAAGCATATAATTAGCATACAACCTGTATAAAGAGAAAAAATACATCTCTCCAAGATAAATATTATTTTCCCATGTACAATAATGCTATAAGAAACAAGAACAAATAATAGCAGCAGCAGCATTTAAAGTTATACAATCTTTCTGTTGGAAGAATGACTATTCTCAAAGAATACAAATAGGTTACTGACAAAATCCATGTAAACTATGCAGCTTAAATATATTTCCATGCTATTGCAGAATTATTTTAATCCTGGTTAGATATGAAGAAATTGCATCAAATGCAATTCTCATTTGTTTCTACTTAAAATATGTCACTGCACCATATTGGGCCATAATGGAATTACAACTACCTTCTTGTCCTTGAGAACAAGTGCAATGTTGTTAATCACAGAGTAGAGAAGCCGATAGTCATGTGGTTCCAGTTCATCATCACCACTAAAGTTGGTACACAACAACTTTATTGAAGAACCATGCATTGCCTTAACAAGCTCCTTTGTGTTTTTCTGTGGTGATGAACATGAGCCTGGTGAAAATAAAAAAAGAAACAGATAATCCAAATATGATATGTAGACAAAGTTCTTTGTACAGAAGAACTTTATTTGAAAAAAATAAACAAGCAAAATAAGCAACAACCGGAAAGAGAAACAAGACCTTTGTTGTAATCCTCAATGCCCTTTGCTTGTGGGAATTTATTGACCACAGTACTTTCTGTTTCGAAAGATTTGACAGCATCACCCACTTGTACTTTAGAAACTCTCTCAACTTCAATTGTTTTATTTTTGTGTTCACTATAGACAACATCAAACAGGATCTCATTTTCACTGTCATCTTTTCTATAGTTGGGCAATTTTTTGTTTACATTTTCAGGTCTCTGATGTATGATTGGTGAAATAACTGATGAGCATTGTGGCTTTTCAGAAGTAGAATTTTTCTTCCTTTCATCAAAAATCAAGTTCCCATCTTGTTCTGCAGGATTCTTGGACCTCCCAACACTCTCAAGAAGTTGCCTTCGATCTTGACAAAGACCGACATAATTTTTCGACTCCTCAATAGCTGTTTGAACAAGCATTTCATCAACAGGAAATGGTGCCTGCCGAGAAGATGGAGTTCCTTTCCAACATGGTGAATCAACGGCAAGGCTATGCTGGTCAATTGCTTCTGAAGAACTTTTCATGGATTTATCTGGTTCCACAGAACTGCATATGGATGGAAAAGCATCAGTAATAACCAAATTTGTTAATCTCAAACCAGGATTTTTTGCCGCAGAAAGATTCAAGTGACTGTCAGTAGCATTATTAGTACTGGAAGGAAAATCTTCCCCAAGATCTGCAGCTGAGGGTGTGCTTTTGCTTAGGCTGTAATCTTCTCCTCTCTGCTCATCATGACTCCTTTTGCTCCCTAAGTTTTGGTTGAGGTTAGGCTCCTTTAGCTTAGAAGGTATAGTTGATGAATCATTGGTATTACGTGGCACTTCATGAAGGACCGTCTTATATGACAAAGTAGAATTGACATTTGAAACAGCTCTTAAGTCGGATGGTGAAAATATTTGGCTTGAAACTGAACATGGTATCACTGAACATGAATCAAGTTGTTTCATGTATCTATCATAAGTGGAGTTTGAAACAAAAGTGTCATGCGAACCCATCCCGGGAGTTGAACCTGTTGTCCCAGAGCAATGTATTCCTTTAAGTAAAGCAGTTGGTGCTGAGATCGGGGTTCTAATGTTTTGCTCATAATTCTCCGGTTGCATATTGTGTAACCATTCGGGACTTTGAGATCTGAAGTGTACTTTTTCTGTCACTGAATTAGGAAGTATTCCATGCCAAACACCATAAGAATCACTGTCATAATAGCTACAGCCATTGCCTGCATGTTCTGCAAAACAGCAATCCAAGCAAATAATGCATAAGTGTTCTGTATCATCTTTCAACTTCAGAAAGCACCATGAGATTATCATCATACACACTATAAAAACAAACACACATCTTCAAATCACATAATTTACTGAAAAAAAAAAAAACAAGAACAGCATTTGCAGTCCAATTTGAAGAGATAGAAGGTGATGTAATGTATGAGTAGAAAATATCAAGCTATTGGAGAAGCAAATGGAACAAAAAAGAAGGATAAGATTGTTCACGTTCTGCATTTTCAACTACAAGACAAGCAGACAAAATAAAAGAAATTATAAAATGTACATGTTAAACTGCTTAGTGAGTTATTCATCTGATCTTGGTTTAACATGGTGGTGTTGTTATGCCCCTGCTTATGCAATAAATAAGGTTTTGACTTAGAAAAGAGAATTAATTGTTTTGTCAAACGAAATTGCAATTTATTTTTCTTTGAGTTGCATTTACTAAATTAGGTCATATCCTTTTGCTAAGTGGGATGTGTTTCGATCAGCAACGAAGACAATTATCATTTTCTGAATTGCTCAATTGTAAGCAAATAAGATTTAGTTTAGTAGCCAAAGAACAGGAATACCTTGAATTTTTGGAGGATTTTTCCTAATCAACTAGAGGATATAATTAAGGATACGAAAATCCTGTGGCATTATGATATATTCGTGATGATTTGATACATCTATAGCAAAAAAAAGAACTATAAAGGAAAAGAACAAGTTGTAAACCCAACTATTTGCAATTGGCCATATGGATCTTTTCTTACTGTTGACCTCTTTTTTGGAAATATCACCGGTCAAACTAAGAGCTGTCAATGTTATCATTTCTTACAAAATAATTAGTTTCCTCTACCTCTCCTCACATCATTAATTGCAATCGATTCATTATATCTAATTAGGGCTATGGTTATCTTTGGTGCATGTCAACAGAAGGGAAGTTTTTGTAGGGAATAAAAAGTTTCCAGTGCTGATTTTTGGGAAAGAGTTGTTTTCCATTCATCCTAGTGGTATATAGCATTAAACACGTTCAAATAAATCTCACTAAGCAATGTTTATACAGTCTGGAGATGATATACAACAATTTCATTTATGTCTCTCTTTTGTATAATCTTTTGCACTCTTTTGTACAATCTTGTAAATAAACCAGGAGGTTGTCTTGCCCTCCTGGTTAAATTTATTGCTCTCCCTCTTCTCAAGTAATGTATTTTCCAGTTAAAGAAAGAAGACCTCATGTACGGAAAACACATCTTAATGTTTACAATATTGCAGAATCCTATAATGTTCAGTATTAGTGATTCTATAGTTGAACCAAATTATAAGAAAAGTAAAAGATCACAGCACACTAAAAACTCTTGTTTCCAAACATCTTTAATGAATGTGAAACACCCTCGACGAGGGTATATGGACCAGCACGCAAAACCTGACATGTCAATATTTGTTTAAGAGAATTATTTGATGCTTTTCTACTATCAACAAAACAATGGCTTTTATAATTAACTGTAGATAACACAAGAAACAAATTATTATGCATTTAACCTTATTATTTATCTTTATTGTCATTCTAGCCAGCGATCTCCTACCTCCTCGATCAATCACAAATCTTTCTCGTCCGTTTACTGAAGAATCCAAAACAAAAGCATGTAGCAAAGGAGGAGTTACATCTTCCATAGACCTTACCAAACTCTTCCCTTCCTTCCCAGACTTTTTTGGCCCACAGGAATATCCAAGATTGCAACTTTAATGAATATCACAAGACAGAGATATGATAAGATCAACTTCATCCAGCGACAGATACTAACTTGAAGTTACAATCAAAGAACCAAAATATGCAATAAATAGCTCTAAAATTCCATGTTCAACGAAAACAAATTCCGACGAAAGCTAAATCATCATTTATTCTGAGAAAAGAGCTTTACGAAAGATCCCAGTCAGAGGGAAAGAAATAGATTACCTTCTTGAAAAGGTGGCACCTTGTAGCCTAACGACGGTTCCGTCCACGACCAGACCGCATCAGTACGCATCCCATGCCCCATCTCCTCGTCAAACGGCCTGTTCCACGGGTCCGTCCCAACTCCAGAGAAGGCAGAAGAGGGCCTGAACGAATCAACAATCGCTGGCGGTTGCGAGTTAGAATAGTAGTGGGCGAACGGGTCAGCCACGGGTCCAGTGCTCGGTTGGGTACGGAGAGAGCCAACGGAGGAGATGGCGGTGTGGGAGGGCAATAGGGAGGCGGAGGGTCGATCGACGGTGGGAAGACGGTGGTACGAGGGCGGCGGCGGGGAAGAGTGGAAGATGTGGTCGATGGTGAAAGGGCGAGCCAAAGGCGAGAGGGTGGACGACGAGGAGGGGTTCTGCGGCAAGGGCGGGGGCGGAGGAGGGGGCGGTGGCGGGGAAGGGAGGCGATTGCGGTAGGAGCCACCGCCGGCGCGTATCATTGCATCGCGAGAGAGAGAAAGAGAGAAGAGGAGGAGAGACCGAAGGGAGAGCGGAAGAGGAAGAGGAAGAAAGGGAAGGAAGCAGAGCAAAGGAGTAATTTTCGTGACATTATGGTGGCATTAATAAATATGGACTTTTGAACGGCCTTTTTGAGTCCCACTTTTTTGCCCTTTTCTTTATAGATTTTATTTATTTATTTATCTCTTTAGAGGAATTACTGATTATGATTATTACTGATTATGACGCTCACAAATTCATTTTTACCCTAGATTTTTTTTTTTTGACTTGAACGAAAATACTCTTATAGTTTTATCTAAATAACTTAATCATGCTATTAAAAAAATTCTTTAAATTTGATAATGAATTGTCATACTTTTTTTAAAAAATAATAATAGTAATTATCTTATAATCATATTAAAATTATTCTAAAATAATTAATATATTTTTTAAAAAAAATATGATAATTAATTACTTTTTTTTTTTCAAAAACTAAGAGTATTTTCATCTAAATTAATAATAAAATAATCCGGATAAAAATAATATTTTAATTAAAAATTCTCACAAACTCTTGAGGAACGATATGATTGTTTATAGATAGGATTACGAACATGATGAAATGATGTTTGAGTTAATATAGTTTAAGAATCCTCAATATTGGAATATAATGATGTCTGAGTTATGTAATTCTATTATATATAATATATAATTTCATGTGATATTTGAGATTTTAGATAATATATATAATGATTTTAGGATTATATTAAAAATAAGAAACGGTAATTTACTATTTTTGAGATTAGTTGTATGGATTTTTTTGTCATTAGACTCTGTTAAAAACAATATCACTCGTTAAACTAATTTTGTTAGATCTTTTCTATTTACTCTCGGAGAAAAAATCTATAAATAGATTTTTCTCGTCTTATTTCTTATTGAAAATGCACCATTTTTCATAAATATAAACTTTTTTTTTTTTGCAAGCACTAAGTGGTGAAAGCGAAGGGTGATTAATAACTTAATCGACATCTTCTATAAATATATATTTTTATATAATATTATATTTTTATAATAATTTTATGTATTCATATTTTATATTCTAATATTTTTATATTAAAAATCGATTAAATTAAACAAATATATTATGATATTTATTTTATAAGATTAAAATTGACTTATAAAAGTTAAATAAATATATTATTATTAATTTTAGTTTTAATATTTTGATCAATAATTTAAATTAAACAAAATTGATACGTCGATTAACCCATTAAATTGATCTATTATTATTAATCATCTAACACCAATAATAAGAAAAAAAATTCCATAGTAAATTGACGTGTGAGAAAGAACATTTCAGGGGTCTAAAGAAAAATTGAAGTGATGAATCATCTGTTATTACTTAGAAAAATAGTAGTGGAAGCTTTCTATTGCTTCGATGTTAAGCCATGTCTGCCCTCCTTCCTTTGCAAGTCTCTCGCCATTGAACTCTAAGATCACAGCTTTGGGGTCTTCACAAAGTTGATGACCTCTTGCTTTACTTTATTCAAGGAAGAAATTGAATAAGATTGATCTTCTCCATCGATTACGAAGCAAAAAATAAAAAAAGTCTGCTAAGATTTATGTGATTAGGATCGAAACTCTATATATTGTGATTTGGTCAGATAATAAATTCAAAAAATAATCGTAAAGTAAAGAAAATTATTCTTTATGTATGTATTACCAAGTTTAAAATATTTATTATTTTAATTGTATTATTATTATTTATATTATATATATATATATTAATTATATTTCATCATTACTATTAAAGTTGTATAATTATAATTTATATACTGATTTTTTTTCCAATTGATAAATTAAATCTTATGGGGAGACGATATGGGGTGAGGATCCAACCGACGGAGCATAGGAGGATCTCCTTCCGTTGATCCCCACACGTGGGGCAAAACCAGACCGTTCACGCGTTGGGGCCATCGCCAGTGACTAATGGCGAAGTTCCGATACATTGTACGGTCGCTCGGGAAGCACATAAGCACCGCGTTGGCCCCCACAGCGGGGGCTACCATTGACCGAGCTCATATTTTTGGAAAAGAATGAATCGACTCCCTCCCTGATCACGTAGCCTTGGCCGTCCGATGGAGATCGGAGCGTCCTTATTCGAATTCTAAAGAACTATAATCCTCGTCACACTTGAACTAGAAACGTCAACTCTCTCCAAAGTGTCCCCATCACGTAACCGTGGCCGTCCGATGCAGATCGGCGAATTTAATCATGGAATTCCGTTCCAACTTGTTTGATCTCACGATTGTTTCGGCCGCCGGCCCCCACACCTCCCCACCCCACACCACCTCTGCCGCTATATATGAACCCGAGATCTCCGTTTCCCTCCTCCGGATCTTGATTCTCCACAATCGTCGGCGAAGAGGAGAGGAGGAAAATAGAGGGAGTCGAGTCGAAGCTCTCGCTCTCAGGTACCGGATCTCTTACTCCTCCACCTCCCTTCTTCCGATCTGATGCGATTCACTCGTCGCCCTCTTTGTAATGCTTCGATCCCGCTGCGGGATGTCAGATCAGATGCTTCTGATTGTCTTGATTGGATTGGTTCCCAGATCTGAGGCTGTGGTGTGGTTTCTTGTTTCCTTTCGTATGTGGATCTGCTGAATTCTGAACCAATGAAGCTTAGATCTTTCACAGTTTGCTCTGTGATATATTTAGGTGTAAAAGGTGTAAATTGGATTAATAGTGGAAATCTAGGGGTCTAGTTCGTAATCTTGTCATTGAGGTTCGAGGTGGTGGTGTTGGATTAATGATTGCGCTTCCTCGTCTTTGTAGATCTTTTGGATCAACTTCGATAAAAGCAAACCTTGTAGATTTACAGCAACGGGAATCCTTTTCCTTGTACAAGTAGGCGGAGTAATAGATGTGAATTGTTTAGACCCATAACAGATTTGCATTCCACTTGATGTGACATAAACTACCAAGATAAATAAGCTGTGCATGCATTGGAGGCTAATGATTTTGTTATGATTATTTTGCTGTATCTTTGTATTGATTTCATCATGTGACATCAGTAGTGTTTGGTGAACCTGGAAGTTCAAACGTGATGTTTTATGATGGATCCTGTTTCTAAAGATCTGGTTGCATTCCTTGCTTTCTATGGATATTTTTCTGTGTGTTCATCCATTTTGGTTGAAATGCACTTTATGTATGCTAAAGGAAACTACCGTTTTGGCAGATAAAACCATTTGGAACCTAACTTGCATTGAGGGGCACGATGGTAGATTCAAGCAAGGTATCTCACTTTCTGGTCTCACTAAGTAACTTTATGAGATTTTCTTAATTAAAAAGAGATTAGCTTGCTGATCTTTGAAGCTTCACTTATATATTCCACTAGAGCCACTTAATTGAGTTTTTTGCCTGACATTATATGTACCTTCTGGATTTGGCCTTCTGTTTGCACTTTCCCTATAGATGAATCAGATATTTATTTTGCTACTTTCTTTAAGTCAGTACCAAGGATATAGTTAATTGTTTGATTGCAGGATGTTAATGGGAGCTTTTCAGGTGACAAGAAGATCATAGTTGTTTTTGTATTAGGTAAGTTTTTCTTGCCCGAAAACAGCATGATATCAATTGTTTAATCAATTTGATATACCAGAAAATTTCCAACATAAATCTTTGCTTAGACCTTTTTTTTTTGTATAAACGCCCATAATTCTGCCATGTATTGATGCTTTCATCAAAATTTTCTTTGTCTTTCTTTCTCTGAAAGTTGTCATCCATCTTTTGTGAAAGATTTCTTATGAGATTTTACCAGTAAGCTTCATGCAATCAATTTTTTCAATTGGATCTTAATTTGATATGCAAGAGTGCAGTATGTAAATGGACAAATCCTTTTGTTCTCTGTTTTCTTTCCTGTCTTTGCCTTTGTTTGTAGATTAAAGTCTTTCTCTTTGTTCTCTCTGTGTTTCATTTTTAATCTGCTGTACAACAGGAGGACCTGGAAGTGGAAAAGGCACACAGTGTGCAAAAATTGTTGAAAACTTTGGTTTCACCCATCTCAGTGCTGGTGATCTTCTACGTGCAGAAATTAAATCTGGTTCCGAAAATGGGTATTGAAAAATGCTTATTCTATTTGTTTTGTTATTTATCTATGTGTACTATGCAAGTCTGTAGCTTCTTAGTGTCATTCTATGCTCGGGATTTGTGGAATTACACTGGAAAAGGCAGATATGATTTTATGCATAGGCCATTAATTGACAAACTGAGTTTAAACCATTCTGCCATAGTAGTAGACTATAATCTTAGGACGCCAATTGATTAGGAGGTTTCCGGAAATTATTCAAACCTACAGTTGCCCAAGGTGGCTACAATTAATATGTGGGTTCAACAAGTGACTTATTTTCAATAATTATCTGTATAACTTCTAAAATGAGTTTGCCACCATCAGGATCTGAAGGATTAGGGAAGGAAAAAGAAGAAAAAAAGGAGACGTGACACATGAAGAAAACATGACATTGGCTGCACTGTGTAAATTAATTATGGAGGAGAGACCACTATGTTTCTGGGATGTAGAATTAGTTGGCAAGATATATATTATGAGGAAGCTAGAGAGGGAGGAGGGAGGCAACAAAGAAGAAACTGACTGAGAGAAGATTTTCGAAAAAAGGCAGGTTGGGATGAAGGCAGTGGTGGTTTTATGACATGAATTAAAAAACTGGAGTAGTATCATAGAAGGATTTTAATTTTAATTTGATATTAGTTTCAATGACTTACTGGGCTGGTACAATAGTGGAACACAAGGAGGTTTATTGACATATACCACCAACGGTCTTATACTATTACCGAGCTATATGCTTCAATAATGGTGGTTGGTCAGACAAGGAAATACCAGTCTGTACGAACTGGTACACCAAGTTTTGATTCCTTGCCAGCATATGAAGCCAAAGGTCTGTCATCTCGCCAATGCTCATCCTTTGTTGGCACAGCCAAACCCTTGTAAATCATGGATTTGTTGTTACTTGCTAGTCCAAAATTCAAATTATCACCCATCATTTAACTTCTCTGGTTCTTTTTTCAGGACTTTGAAGCTTCTGCAAGTGAATGTTATATTTTTGTTAAATATGAAATGCTTGCTGAACCTGGTTGACACATTATTTAACTGGAACAATTCTCAATTTTCTCTTACTGAATTCTTTCTCCAGTACCATGATCTCAAACATGATAAAGGAAGGGAAAATTGTTCCTGCTGAGGTAACGATTAAGCTTTTACAAAAGGCTATGCTTGAAGGTGGAAACGACAAATTTCTTATCGATGGATTTCCCCGAAACGAAGAGAATCGTGCTGCTTTTGAGGATCTTGTAAGTTGGCAGTACACTTGTTGTTTAATTATAAAATCTAATTAATTTACTATGTACAATCAGTAACAACTTTCTTTGGTGTCATAGACAAAAATTGAGCCAGAATTCATACTATATTTTGATTGTCCAGAGGAAGAGATGGAACGACGACTATTAAGTCGCAACCAGGTTCTCTCTCATTTGCTTTCTCAATTTTCTATACGCCTCATATGCCTGTGAATCATTAACTTTCTGTATGATTCAGGGGAGAGTTGATGATAACATTGAGACTATAAGGAAGCGTTTTAGGGTTTTTGTTGAATCCAGTTTACCTGTAGTTGAGTACTATGAACTGAAGGGCAAAGTTCGAAAGGTATCTGCAAGCTGTTCCTTTCGAAGATTTTGTCAAAGCAAGCTTTTGTTATTTTTATTTCTCAAATTACTATGACAGTTCATGGTTGCTTGATTTGCCATTTGAAGTGCCAACTTTCATGATATTATTAGAATAACATTGTAGATACTTTTTATTTTTTGTAAGATTGTTTGTTGTTGCTTTTCTCACGAGTGTTCTCAGTTCTCCTTGGGGTGTTTCTAAGCAATACTGAGGTGGTATATAATATAACTAGCACTCTGGATTGATTCCTTACAGGTTGATGCACTAAAGCCTATCGATGAAGTTTTTGAAACTGTAAAGGCCATTTTTGCTCCATTCCACACCAAAGTAAGCTTCTGATTTTTCATGATGCTTTTATCAAGATGCATGTGTACATCAGCAGTATCTTATTAGAAAATGGCTTCATCAATCTAGAACCTAAGTGACTAACTTGACGAGGCACTGATCCATCTATGGACAAAGTAGTTCCTTGACACCTAAACTAGAAAATTATTTACTAATATTATAGTGCTCACTGCATGAACATCAGGTTAGCAGGTTCATTCCTTTGCATCATGCATGCTGCACATTTTTCCAGGCAATTTGTTGCCCAGGATGTGATTAAGATGATTAAAACTTCTGTTACCTTGGATATTTTGAAATCCACATAAACAAGAAACACATGTGACTGACCTTTTATAAACTAATGTGATACACTAGTTCTTTTTTCCTTTTACTTATTGGCTTTACTTGTTTGCATGTATTTTCAGGTTGACTAGAGCTGGCTTGATGATGTTAACCTGCATTAAATAAAAGGTAATATTATCCTGGGATGCTGCTGTTGTTGGATAATGTTGTTGATTAATTAGATAGGGTAACCACTTAACAAAATACTGGATGCATTTTTATGTGTAGACAACATTTAAATACCTTGAAGACCGCTCAATTTCTTGAAATTCATTGGCGTCATGTTCAAACTTTTAGATTAATTTTGTTGTTTCCAACTCTCCTACACATGGTCTTCAACATTTAAATACCTCAACTTCATGTACCAGACCCCTATTGATTCAGTAACATATCACGGAATGGTTTTTTGGTTGGGGAGGGGAGAGTGGGAGGGGGTTGCTTAAGGAGGAAGTGATAGTAAAGTGGAGAAGAAGAGAGGAGTTCCGGTTTAGTAGGGCCGATGAGCCATGAAGAATGAACTGGTATATAATCCTTTTAATTCTACATTTAGGTTGATCAGCTAAGAATTTAATACTTTTTTTTAAATTAAAGCATAGTGTTAAAAACTTGGCACAACCTGCTAGAGGGATCAACATAAGCTTTACAATTATTCTGTTCTGTCCATATGGCATAAATTAATTTAGATATTTAAGATTATATGAAATACAAGAGGATTATGGAATATTGAAGTAATAATGTTAATTTTTGGTTGATGATATGCCAATTGAATATGCAGTAGAATATCTAAATGCCTTGAAAAACAAATTAACAAGGTCCTATTCAGGCATCAGGTGTTACAATTGTGGAATTATTGATATAACTTTTTAACATTAATATCTCAATGGAACTAAACTATTATGTTTCGACACTTGATGATCACCATCAAATGCTTTGTATCTGATACATTAGATCTCTAAATACTTTAGATCTATCATTTCATCAACACCTGTAGGCACATTTAAATTGTGTGAGAATTTCGGAAGATTGGATTGTCTAGAATAAATTGAGTAGTTTCAAAACACAAACTAATTCCTCAAGCTGCTAAATTTTGTATAAGCTTAGTTTTTTATTCAAAATTCTCATTATTATTTTGATGAATCCTTGTTTAAGTATGATTTATTATCTTAGTGTTTGCAAATCTGGCAGCTCAAATTTTGATAACTCGGGCCATCCAAATTGCTTGGGTGTTCTTTAAAGGTTACTTTTAATCTGATATAACTTAAATATCATACTGATACTAGATAACTCGCTTTAAAATAATATCCTTATCTATCTAAAGACAAGTTGTTAACCGAGTATCGTGTTTACTCATTTAGCATCTGTAAGTTTGATAACTTGGGTCATTCATGTAGTGTGGTCTTTTCATCTGAATGCGGCCATGTAATCTAAATGTATTTTATTGGTTGTTATTGCAGGTATCGTTCTGTAGCACAGTCTTCTTTAATTTGTAATATTCATCAGCCTATTTTGGCATGTATCGATTAAACTTAAGTGTTTTTTTTGTTTAATATAAACATTGTCCAAGCATACCTTCTTCAATTGTTAAAGCTGTATTTCATCCTCACAGCTGTATGCATTTGCACTTTGCACTCCTTGAAATAAAATCTGTAGACAGAATTCATTCCTTCATATTTAAACTACCTTTCTGAATGCACTGTGTGATCTCGTTTTCATTAGTTGAGCATTCTGTTCTTTTGCCAATGTAGTCAGTAATTTTATAAGATTGGTAATTAGGGATCTTTGACGTTGTAAGTTCATTCTGTTGGACCTTGAAAGTGTATCACTATTCCGTGCTCGTTTTATGGTCATGATCTGTCAAAATTCGATTTAATCTTATAAAAGCCGATTCTTAACTCAAATGATTACATATGCATATTCTTCAACCCATTCATTTGAAATGTTAATAATATACAGCGACATTTCAGGTTCAAATAGATGATAGCAAAAGCACACCCGCCGGGGGCAGAGGAGGTAGACTTCACAAAGGCTGACACTACCTGACACAAGTTGAAATGGACACGGCACTTTTCACAAAGCACTGCAGCTCGCTCGCCCTCGCCAATGCCAAAGAGCCTTCCCCAGCTTTTATTACGCTGTACTCTCCTCGCTCCTCACGTGTCCCATCACCTCCTCATCATGCGACCTTTCTCACCCTGTCGCCCACACCGCATACAACTATTTTATAGCCGCCTGTGGTTTTCTTTAGACTATTCCCAACCCCTGTTTTAGAGATCCGATGCAAATATGCAGTTAGAGCGACAACTTTGCAACTTGGACTCGGGTTTTTATGTAACAATGAAGATTTAGCGTAAATTTAATACCGCTCTATATATTTATCCAAATACTAATAATACCTTCTCTACAATTTTCATTACTGTCATTAATTTTTCAATAATTCTTGTTTTTTTTATTAATATTTTAATATTAGTAAAAAAAATTAAATATCAATATTCTCTTATTATTTATGTATTATAAATTTTCAGGGACAAATATGAAAAATACTGACTTTAGAAGGGCGGATATATAATTTTGTCAGGCAATTAATGACAAAATTAAACAGTTTCTCTGTCATTAATTGCCTTTCGTTCCCAGAGCAAATAAATGAGGCATCACCACATGGTCCCCACTCCCATCTATCACACGCACTCTTCCCCGCTCTGCTTTTACTGTTCTCTGTTCATTAACTTTTGAACGGGCCTAAACGGGGCCCCACCGCATCCCCTTCAGCTGCTGCTGCTCTCTCTCTCTCTCTCTCTTTCTCTCACTCTCACTCTCTCGGACACACGCATCACCACTTCACTTCTGCTTCTTCTACTCTCTTTCTCCGCCTTCCGCCGCCCCCGGGCAGCGAATGAGATTCTAGGGTTCGGACCACTGCCGGAGATGGGCTGCTTCCACTCCAAGACCACCAATGTCCAGTCCCCCGACGAGGAGTCACTTCCGGCCGACAAGCCAGATCTACGTACCAATCGACTTCCCCTTCTCCTCCTCTTCTTTATTTTGTTCTCTTAGTGATACTTTTCGTGATCTTGTTTTGGGGGTGGGCCTTGAAAGCGAATGGGGACGCGGGGGAGCAGGACCAGGTGCCAGCGTTCAAGGAATACGGACTCGCTGAGCTGAGGGCCGCCACCAAAGGGTTCAGCCCCGAGATGATCGTTTCCGAGAGCGGGGAGAAGGCGCCGAACGTCGTCTACCGGGGGAACCTCGACGGGGGGCGGCTGGTGGCCGTGAAGAGGTTCTCGAAGCAGTCGTGGCCCGACGCTCAACAGTTTGTGGTTGGATCTCTTGCTCTTTCGCTTTAGATTTTGGTGTTTGGTGCTTGATTTGTTTGGGAACGGTATCAATGGGTTTAATGTTTGGTTCTGCTAATGAAGACGGAGGCGGCGGGCGTGGGCAAGTTGCGGCACACGAGGTTGGTGAACTTGATCGGCTGCTGCGCGGAAGGTGACGAGAGACTTCTCGTGGCGGAGTTCATGCCTAATGATACATTGTCCAAGCATCTCTTCCACTGTATGATACTACTATACTATTAATTTTTCAGTTGCATTTTCCTTTCTTTATGTCACTTGTTGTCGAAGTTCCTTTTTGAGTAAAACTTCCTTTCTTCCTTGCCGTAGGGGATCTTTTTGCTAAATATAGATTATGTCAGCTTAGCTCTTTCTACTTCAGGGAAATATTAGTTTATATAACGGTATTAGATGCATTACTCATTAACTCTTTTTATTTCCATTTCAGGGAAGTATTAGTTTATGTAACGGTATTAGATGCATTACTCATTACGTATTATGCAGCAAGCGTGGTCGTCCAATTTTGGAAGGACAGCATTATAGGCACATGGATGCTTCTGAGAGGCAGTAAAAAAGGATAATGTCTGGCAAATCATGGTGGAGGAATGTCCTCTGTCGACATGTACTGACAATCTCATGTAATTAGTACAAAAAAAGGAAATTTTGGTGGATGCTGTAACAAATTTATGCTTCACAACAGAGTCTGGAGGATTTTGGGTGGAACCTTCGAGAAATTCGAACTCCTTACATTTTACATTTGGTACTTGTTAACTTGTATGGTTTAAGGGGATTATGCAGTGGAATAGACCATAGTTGGCTTCCTAGGGAGTTCTTAGAAAGGCTCTTAGAACATTTCTGGGTTGATATTTTCGTGCTAGTGCTATATAATATGAGATTTTCTTGTCATATCTATCTTGAGCTCAGATCCATGATTAAGTATATCTTGCTTATCATTTAACTAGTCCCAAACAATTTTTTGAGCCGGTGTTTGTGATCTTGGCAAGCTTGGTTTCAATCTGAGCTTGGTCCATTAAAAATGGATAGCTCCATTTGTTTGTATCATGAGATATATCCTCATTCTTCTTTTTCTTTTTAAGAATAGAAAGATGGTGCACATTTCATTGTCGGAAATGAAGTTCATTCTTTTTTGTTCGGCTTCATCTTATTACACCGTACTATTGCTGAATCTTTGTATGCTTGTAAGGGCATTACAGATGATGTTGCTCATTTAACATTCAGTTCCATTGTAGACTATTCAAGTAGTATGGGGTGCTGAACAACTACGTCAAATGTTTTTCCGGATCAAATTTAAATATCTCTAGTGTTGATTTTCTTCTGGTTTGTTAGCATTCAGTTTTCTATTTTCATTGTACTTGAAGTCTGATCAAGTAACTAGGTTTGTTTCCTTGTTGATCTTCGTGATAAGAATCTAGATTCAAGGAATTTCCTCGAGGAGCTTTTTGGTGTCCTGGTATACAGTAGAGAGAAGGTGCATGGATGAGAAGGATGGGAAGCATAGCTAGCTAAATCTTGTTTACTTTTTCAATCATCTGTCACATCATAATATTCTTGTGTTCAAATTCTTATTGACAGATCGTGATAATTATTTACTATGGTGGTAGTTCAAGTTATCGCAATCCTCTTTTCCAATTTAAACTTTGAAGTTCCATGCTTATTTGCATTAATCTTTCATGGTTGGCAATCCTTCTATTTCTTGTGTATTTGTTAGTATTCGATACAACCTTTTGTTTATTTCGGTGCAGAATTAGAACATAGAATTCTTAAATTTTCCTATGTCAATGTTAAATAACTTTTTCATCTTCATCTGACTTATAGTTTTCTGTTCTCAGCTTAAACTTCAAATATTTTCATTGCATATCCAAGTACAAATATTTATTTTGATTGTTTTCCCACCGTTCCAGTGCCTGCGATTTCAATGCTGTTGTTAATTCTGCACCTTTTTTATGATATGATCTTGCTAATTGATATTTAACAACTAATATGGATTTTGAAAGTCAAAATGTTGCTTTGCTAGCTTTATGAATCTAAGAAATATATAACATTGGCAGGGGATAAGCACCCATTACCATGGCAAATGAGAGTGAGGGTGGCATTCTACATTGCCCAAGCGCTTGACCACTGTAATACTGAAAATCGGAGAATTTATCATGACCTAAATGCTTATAGAGTCCTATTTGATGAGGTATGAAAATTTGAAGTTGTTTGAAAGTGATGCTTTACTTTCTTGCATTTCATATTTATTGATTTGAACTAAAGAATTATATAATTAGGGATCTTCATCAAGTTAAGTGCCATTTTCGCATATTTGTAAAATTTCTAATTGACTTTGGAATGTAATGGTTCTTCTCTTGATTAGGTTTTGTTCTTTGTTAGTTGCAACTGAAAGACTTAGATTTTCCTGGAATGATGATTAAAACAATTACACCCATATTTATTGTTTACTAGCCATGCTCCATAAAGAATGTTGTGTTTGAATTTTCTTTTTAATCTGTTTGTTTATTAGTTTGGACTAATTCTTGATTTTTTAAAATTATCTATATTGAGTCAGGATGGGGATCCTCGCTTGTCTAGCTTTGGTCTAATTAAGAACAGCCGAGATGGAAAAAGTTACAGCACTAATCTTGCTTACACTCCACCAGAATTCATGCGCACTGGTATGTTAAATTTTTAGGTTTCAGTTTTCGGTTTCTTGTGGTTGATTGTGATGCACAGAAATCTTACAATCAGTTCTGGATTCAAAATATCCAGCATGAGCCCATATACAGCAAGATCCTTTAATTTCATTGGAAAAGGTTTACACATGATACGTGATTTAGCTATTTAATAGTTGCATATATAGGTCAATCAGGTGGGACTTTTTTTTCCTGATTTTTTGAGGGCAGTAAATGAAGATCCTTAAAAGGGATGGTTTCACATGCTTAGGAGCATGAGGGAGCCATTTTATTATACTTTGGTGATTGGTGTTGGGCCGGTTCTAGGGTGAGCTGGTGGAGATGGTCCTTAAAAGTAATCTTCAACATGTAATGAATAACATTAGAACCGGCCCAACACCAATCACAAGGGACTAGACTGTAGGGGTTTAAAAATAATTAGATCGAATTCTAATGTTATTCATTACATGTTGAAGATTACTTTTAAATTTTATAACTCCCTTGTTAAGTTATCCTACTTAGTTGCCCACATAGAAACTTCAGAGATTGCTTGAATTCGACAAATTCATGTCTATACATACCACTGTAAGATATTTAGTTTTCCCTCAGCCAGCAGTGGTCTGAGTCACTTTATGGATAGGAAGTTCAGAATTGGAGATGTGATGAAATACTGTACTTTCACTATTTGAGATATAAAAAGTTTTAAGATTTTATTTGAAAAATTATCTTGACCCATAAAATGATATTATAACTTTTCAAGCCTGCAAGAAGCTCCTTTCATGTATCTGGACCTTAATAACATGAATGCATATACCCTGTCAATTGGATTTTATAGTTGGCTGCATTGTGGTTCTGGTTAACTGCTGCTAGCATGGGGCCTTTGCTTTTGACATTCCTCATGCCTCCCTTCTTTGCAAATTTGTCATGGTTTATTCTAGGGCTTTAGTCAGGATATGTTTTTTGATGATAAATAATTTATTTCAAGGATTTTCATAGTTGCTCTCTTAAAAATTTTATTGGTGCTTTTGTTGGCTTAAAGCATTTTTCTAAGAAAGAAAATCTATATGATTGCCTAATATGCTGCAAATAATTCATTCTGTGAAGTGAAATATTTGGTTTCTGATCATTGTTTAATTATCTTGATACTAGTTTGTGGGACTGCTAAGTTCATTAGATTCTTATAGGATTTTTATCTGGATACATGTATTTGTGCAGGCAGGGTGATTCCAGAAAGTGTAATCTACAGTTATGGAACAATTCTTTTGGATCTTTTGAGTGGGAAACATATTCCTCCTAGTCATGTATGTTTCAAGTCACCAAAACTTTGGTAGTTCTTTTATTCTTTGAAAATTTGTATCACATGATGTTCATGATATTATTGCTATTCCTTCATCATTTGTTTTTTACAAAGAGCATAGACAAGGGAACAAACTAAAAACTTTGTTCTCTAGCTAGTGATCCTGGAAGATATGCTTGAAAACTTGTAGTGCTCTTGATATATGCTGAGACTGACCTTGCTCGTTTTTAGTTCTGTATCAAGTTTTTTTTATCACTTAATCTGGTCCAAATCAGCATCTTAGAATTGTCTCTGAATTCTTTTTATCTTGATGAGTTAAAGTTAGTCCTTAATATTTACTGATTTTCTGCAAGATGGTTGGTTTCTTTTTTTGTTTGTGTTGTTGTCATAATTAGGAACTGGAATGCTTTAAACTGTTGGTGCATTTTGACTTTTGATTCAGTGGTAGTAAGTTTTTGTTATATTTGTTCTGTTAGTACTTTTTTTCTGGTAATCACATGTTCAAAATTAATATACATACTCATTTCTTCTTGTAATGATCATAAACATTGTGTGAAGTTGCCTTGTCTGATCTCTTTGTTTAACATTAGGACATGTTTAGTTGCTTCTAATTTTTATCATAACTGGGTAGACACTCATTTTCTGGTGGCTCTTGCTAGGCACTGGATCTTATAAGAGGGAAAAACATGTTGCTTATAATGGATTCATCCCTGGAGGGGCAATATGCTAATGAAGATGCTACCAAGCTCGTTGAACTAGCGTCAAAATGTCTACAGTTTGAGGCTAGAGATCGGCCGAATTCTAAGTTTCTTCTATCTTCTGTGGAACCTCTGCAAACTCAGAAGGAGGTAAGTTTTGACTCATTTCCTTGCATGTCTACTTGTTACTTCACAGTATTGTGATTTATGTAAATTCCAACTTTGTGATGATGTAGGTGCCATCACATGTATTAATGGGCATAACAAAAGCGCCACAAGTGTTGCCAACAATGCTTTCCCCACTTGGAAAAGCTTGTGCAAAGATGGACCTAACTGCTGTGCATGATATACTGCTCAAGACAGGCTATAAAGATGAAGAAGGTGCAGAAAATGAGGTATGGTGCAGCTGCTTTTTATTCCATTATTTTATTATGCATGTAATGACATACAATATATTTGAAGATATGCATATTAGCATGTATAAACATCTGTGTATATATGAGCGTGTTCTGTTTGTGCATCGACTTTATCCATATTCAGTTCTGCACCTCTAATTAGATATTAAAGCACTTGCCAGTGATATGCATATTGGTCATATTGATTGCCTCCAACCATATCGATCATTATATTTTTGGCAGTCTCATGATGCACTGGAGAATATTTATTGGACATTTTATTTTTTTACTTTGAAGCTCTTGACAATCTTGAAGCACTTGTTTCTTTAGCTTTCTCAATATTAGTGTTGTATAAATATTAACAGTGCTACTAATTCCCAGTATCAGAAGAAGAATAAATTAAAGTTGGTTATGTCCAATACCTCTTATTTAATACGTATAAAAATGCAGATATTTTGCATGACAAAATAATTTTAAATGTAGTAAGAATATATTTCAAGATAAAACAATGTTCTTTCTCTTGTTCATCTAGAAGTCAACATAGTTCATATTTGTGTGCTCTCCTCAATCCATTATGTTTTTTTTCCTGGTGGCTGCAAAATGTGCTTTTTTGTGTCCAAAGGTTGAGACTTTGATTCAGCGATTTGTTGCTTCTTCTGCTTACGATTCTTATTGGAAATGACATTTATTAGGTTCTGGCAATCTTATATTTGATGTATTTCTGTTTTTCACTGTAAATAAAGCTTTCTTTTCAAGAATGGACACAACAAGTGCAAGAGATGTTGAATACAAAGAAGTTTGGAGACATTGCATTCAGGGACAAAGATTTCAAAAGTGCTATTGAGTATTATTCCAAGGTGTGATACTATGAATCTTTGATCATGTTGTATCTCTTTCCTTAGGAACTATTCCTGCAACAATTAATTTTGCAATTTTTGTGTAAGGTAGACTTTTTATACTTAAAAATCATTGTTTTGTTCGTGTCAATCCTTTCCATTTTACTCAAATATCAGTTCCTCAAAGTGTTGGAACATGGAAAATTTGTTGAATTAATTAGGACCTGGAAGTTTAAAATCTTTTCTTAATGATCAATCCAGTTAAAAAATATCCCTCCTCACTTTAAACACTTAGTTCCAAATTTTGGTCTGATTTCGATACTGGTCCATGGGCGGGCCAATTGGTATCTTATAATGATCGGCATACAATACCGTGTGTCAGTATTTCCCCATGCCGATCGGTATGGCTTGGTCGGAGCAGAATGAGGTGGAGGAGGTGGAGGCAGGGGAGAAGGATGAAGCAGGGGAAGAGGAAAAGGTGGAAGAAGTGGGTAGAAGAAAGTGGCAAACTGTAGTTTACTGACTTTACTTGCCTTGACTTAGCATCATCCTTTCCAACCAAGTTGCTAATACTCTTGTAGTGAAGAACATCATGTAGAGTTAATATCCAGAAACATATGATGAAACTGCTGACTAATCAAATAAGGCTCTAACAGCCACCTTAAGGCCTCATTGCGTATCATCTTGTATTTTGAGACTCGCCTACAGCTTATATTTAAAGAGGAAAGTAAAAAATATATGTCGTGAAAGCGTTCAGTGATTTGTATAGTAAGTATATCAGGACGAGTTTCAGGAATTGTTGTAATTCAATACTTTTTATGACAGTTTGTATGGTTGATTAACTATCATTATGATGTTTATCTTGTTATGTTCATGACAACTTATCTATTTTACTTATGCTTCTCGAGTCCTGTATAGCTTATTGGATCATGCAGTTGGAACTGTTTTAGGATCACTTGAATTAAATGTATTAACTACTAAGAGTTACTTTTGCTCTGCAACAAAACCAGTTAGTGGCAATGATGTCGGTTCCATCGGCCACAGTTTTTGCGAGGCGTGGCCTATCATACTTGATGAGTGGTCAACCGGAGCTCGCGCTACGGGATGCCATGCAAGCCCAGGTGTGTATGCCTGAATGGCCAACAGCCTTCTACTTGCAAGCTCTTGCCCTCTCCAAGCTTGGAATGGAAACTGATGCCCAGGATATGCTCAACGATGGTGCTGCCTTCGAGGCCAAGAGGCAGAACGGCTGGCATGGCTAGATGATCTCAGTGCTCTCTCTTCGTTGTGCTTCTCCTAGCAACTCAACAGTGGTTCGTCTTGGGTTGTCAAATGTTGGCTCTTCTTCTTGGGAAACCAGAGCTGTGACCCCCAACAGTGGATGTTGAGAAGGGAATCAGCCAGTGTTTTGTACAAAATCTTCAGAAAAAGAATGATTCAGTTAGTGAAGTTTCCATGGACATTGTATTAGGATCATCATTTATGATGGCATATCGATGTTCTTGTAATCACATGACAGGTGGGGATATTTACATTGACGAGGGTCGATACTTTGCGCAATATTTAGCATGACCCTTAGATCTTTGAATTTTCATTCCTTTGAATTAGCTTTTGACTCTTCAATATTTTTTTTTGAATAAAGAATGTATATATATATATATATGTATAATACCTAAATTATATTTAAAATATATTTAATGTTTTTACCATCATAATATTCAGTCTGGTAGATTTATAAATATCTTTTAAAGTTTCAATGTCTCGTTTCCTACAATAAATGACAAAAAAAACAAACAGTAATGGCATATATGAAAAAATAAAAAATAAATAAATAAAAACTTCTATGAGAGAGGTTATACGGAGCCTTTTCAGAGGTCTTTCTGCAATCTCGCCCCTTTATCTTTAAGCGTCGTGTCCGCACGGCGACGGCCATTCTCAGCCCTAAATCTCTCCTCTCGTCGTCCTCGTGACTTCCCGACAGAATCCAACGTTCTCTCTGATATTACTTTTTATTCTGTTGTATCTTCAGAATGCTTGCTTTGGGATATGCCCCGTCGATTCTTCCTGGCGGATCGGCCTTGTCAAATCATCCTCGATCTATTAGCGGTTTCGTGGTGAGCTTGTCTTACTTCCCTTTTTGTTCTTAATACTAGAAATTGATTCTATAAGCAAATCTTGATGTATTAGCTCGACCCGGTTATCCATCCGCGAATCTGTTCGGGACTCTTGAACTCCTCGGGTGTATTCTTGTGGGAAGAACTCGTTGTACTATGGCTACTTTGTTCAGCCTGCGATATTTAACCGTAGATGTGCTATTTTCGAGTTTATCTTAGATTTGATTAAAGTTGCATGGACAAAAAATATCTTTTTTGGACATCGGTAATTACTCGACTCTGATGCGTGTTGTCTTTTGGTTCAAATCGTTACAGCATTTGCTTGGGATATGCAAAATGAGTCCCTCTCTCCCTCTTAATCAGTTTCTTCCTAATCATTCTCTCTTTTGCATGTTTTTGTGCTTTGTCTGATCCGGAGCACCTTATTGTCATTGAAGAGTAAGGATTGTTGGAGACATCTATTCGAGTTTCAGTTCATGTTATAATTAAAATATCTTGGTTTGGTATGCAATAATTGTTTCCAAGAGAAAATGTCTTGACAATAACGTAGAGAGAAAGCCGGAATTAGATTTTGTTCAGATATGGAAATGTTGGTGATTGAACTTAGCTTGGACTTAATAAGGTGGGATATCCTATTTATGTCCTGTAACAGGAATCCACAGGTCTTCACAATTTAACTTTGATCGTGATAGGACTTATTTTTGTCACTTATATGAAGCAGTCATTTACATAGAATCTGATATTAAGGCTTCCACTGTTGAAAAGAAATGTTGTTTTAGAGCCTCATACTGAAACATATGACTCCTTCTGGATCCTAGTATCTGTTAACACCTTTGAAACATGAAATCTATTGAAGCCACCATGATGACCTTGGGTTGCATTATGTACCTTAACATATAAAGACAAGTTAACCTCTCAAAGAAACTGAGTCACTTTTGTTTCATGTGAAAGGCTACACTGCTATTCTCTTATCATAATGGAACTTTATAGACTGGCAGATCAGAAGGAACATGACATCTGTTTATGTACTATGTTTAGCTTAATACGTTTGAATGTTGAAGGATATGTTACAGCCATGTACAACATTGTCCCTCAGCAATTGAATTCTTATGCATAATTTTCTCTGTATTAAGGGCCTGTTACTTAGGATCTGTGGTCATCTTTGTCACACAGTTCTAATTTTTTTGTTTCAACTATCGGAGTGCAGCTCCCTTCCTTTCACCTTTCAGTAGAGAATTTACAACTGTTGTTTTGGAGAGGGTCAATCGGATTTCTTGGTTATAGAATTGAGAGAACCATCATATCTGAATTTCATAAATTTTTAAAAAGCATTACAATTTTTAGTTGTTGAATCATGAATGCTCGGTCGCTGATAATACATCTAAAATTTGCTTGAAAACAAATACAGTTTTCATCATTCAATTTTAAGATGTCTAATTTCAGGTCTCAGAGCCACTTCTGCGCTACTTATTTTTAAAAAGTTCTTGATAGTTGTTTTGGGTAAATTATTGAGTTACCTACTGTCCTTTTTTAAGTGTCATAGGCATGACTATTCTCTGTTATTATTCTACAATTTTAATCTAGCAATGTTTCTTTCTTTTGTAAAGTTCATCCATTTTTAGTTGAATAATTACATTCTCCTAAAATGCCAGGTATGTGGAACGAGAGGCCCTAGACCTAGATTTCCTCGTGTGTGGAAAACAAGAAAGAGAATTGGAACAATTTCCAAGTCACAAAAGCTTGTTGAATGTGTAAGATTCTAGCATTTTTACTTGTGCAACCATCATAAGATGGTAGATGGGAACCTCATATGCAACCTCTAATCCTATATGCTTGAACCAACTACTTATAGCTGTATTTTCTATTCCTTCACGAATTCCATTTTTAACTGCTCTTTGCTACTCTCGTCATCCTCCTAGTGGAAGTCTCTTTTATAACAAAAAATGTCATAATATTGATGTCTTAAAGAGATATTCATGTACTATGTGATTGCCACTCTTTTTATGTATACTGGATTGGGCTTTTTTCAGGTTTAAGGCATATTCATGTATTACTACTGTCATATGTAGATCAAAATTTATGGATCCATGCAAAGTCTGCAATTTCGTACCGTACCGGAGTTTCGACGTTCGCTCGACACGGTACGAAACTGTATACCGAGCGGTATACCGTTTGGTATACCACTCGGTAT